AAGCAATGGTAATATGAGTATTTCAGACAGTTTAATCTGCACCATCATATGGTTATTACTCTATCGGCGTTTGATTATCACGAAAAGACACGTGGCAAACAAGAGACAATCGTCCCGATTAATATCACCTCATCGAGCCCTTTGTCAACCACCACTCGCGACCTCATTAGAGTCAACATCTCGACTCCTCATTTAACCTTTTATATGGTTCATTGATTGTTTTCTTTTGCGGCATGGATGGGGTTTTTGGTTGTATACTTAAAGCGGCATTTTCAAACTATAGACTACTTTTTTTTTTGTCATTGAATCTATTGATTCTGATTCTCCAAATTATGGAGCATCTCACGGCTGGCACAATTTTTTTTATGTTTGTTTTCATTAGCTTTTTATTGTTCACCACGGATTGGAGCGAAGGTTAAGGATGCATTTTTAGCATTCTTCGGGAAGCGTAAACATATCCGGAGGAGGATTTATAGACTTGGGTGACGGTATGGACTGGGGATGGGGAATGGGAATGAATGGGGAAATTCATGGGAGAAAAGAAATATTTCATCCTGACAGTGGCTATGAATGGGGTGGCTGGGGGAGAGTGCAGAGTAGAGCATAGGTATCAAAGGGGATGAAATGGTGGATGGAGGAAGTAAAACGATGAAGTAGCATTTAGCTAGCTTAGTATAGAATTTGGCGGATACCAAATAATAAGCGATGAAATCAAAATTTTCAACAACCCATCATTTGGAATTTTGATCACTTGTGGTTTTTTGTGAAGAAGAAGAGGTGTCATGTGTTTGATTAGTTTGAGATTGGAGAGTTTGAGGCTTGTTATTGGTTTGTTGTGATTTGTGATTTGATACATCCATGGTATTAAGACTAGCTTTTCCTCAGTTCCCCGGCTGGCCTTATCTTATCTTTGGTTTGATGTGACGGGATGGGATGTGTGTGATGGGATGGGATGGGATGGGATGGGATATTAAGTGATGTGATGTGATTTACTCCGGGTTTATTATTCTGCTCTGCTTTTGAGTTGAGATTTGAGTTTGAGATTTGAGTTGAGATTTGAGTTGAGTTTTGAGTTTGAGATTTGAGTTTTGAGTTTGAGACAATGAATATTCTGTCTGTTGTATTGTGTTCTGTTGTGTTGTGTTGTCCTGCTGATTGAGTGAGTGATTGATTGGAGGGGGTTGAGGATGGAGGATAAGGAGGGGGGTTGAGGATGGAGGATAAGGAGGGGGGTTTTAGGGGGGGATAAGGAGATGGGGGGGATGGGGGGTTTGACATGTGACTGTGACTGCGTGACTTTGATTGTGGAATGGATGGGATGGATGGGGATGGGGATGGGGGTGTGTGGTAGATAGAAGGGGATGAGGATGGGAGGGGATGGAATAGAAGGGAATGGAAGGGGATAGGGGTGTGTATAAATGTATAATAAATATATAATAAATAGATAAATAAATAGGTAGGTAGGTAGGTAGGTAGGTAGATAGGTAGATAAATAGGTATAAATAGATATAGATTGGGATTCGGATTCGGATTCGGATTAGAGTATGTTAGAGTATGTTAGAGTATGTTAGAGTATGTTAGAGTATGTTAGAGTATGTTAGAGTATGTTTTTGGGGGGGGGGGGGGGGGGAGGAGGAGGAGAAGGAGGAGGAGGAGTGGAGAGGTTCTTGGGTTGGATGTGGATGTGGTTGGGTGTGGATGTGGATGGGTGGATATGGTTTATATAGGAGGGAGGAGGAGGGATGTGGTTTATATAGGAAGAAGAAGAAGAAGAAAGAAGGAGGGATAGAATGTAATATTTGATATTTGATATTTGATATTTGATATTTGATATTTGATATTTGATATTTGATATTTGATATTTGATATTTGATATTTGATATTTGATATTTGATATTTGATATTTGATATTTGATAATATCTCGGTAGTATATTAATCTATATTCTATATCTATGTATTTTGATGTGTCTTGATGGGAAATGAATAAAAAGAGAGATTCGGACTGATTTTTGAGGGGTGGATTGATTTATGAGAGGTGGATTGTTTTTGGGTTTGGGATTTAGAGGGGGGGTTGGAGATTTGGAGGGGGAAGTAGTTAGGTAGTGGACGTGGTAGTTAGGTAGATTAAGGATGAAATGTTTTTGATATCGTTTTCTTGGGGAAGGGGGAGGAGGGAAGAGGGGATTTGAGGAATCTTTTTCTTTGTCTTTATTTTTTATTTTTATTTTGTTGTTGTCACTTTTGTGGGGAAAGGTTGGGGAAATGTTGGGGAAGAGGGTGAGAGAGGGGGGATGTAGAGGGGGATGTATATGATGTATGATATAGAGATAGATATAGAGATAGATATAGAGATAGAAATAGATATAGAGATAGATATAAAGATAAATATAGAGATAAATATAAAGGTAAATATAGAGATAGATATAAAGATAAATATAAAATAAATATAAAGATAAATATAAAGATAGATATAGAAATAGAAATAGATAAAAGATAAATATAGAGATAAATATAGAGATAGATATAGAAATAGATATAGAAATAGATATAGAGATAATATAGAGATAGATATAGATATAGATATATTTATAGAGTAAATAAATATAATCCCTAGGAAAAATTGAGAGTTTGGAGTTTGGAGTTTGGAGTTTGGAAATGTGAGGTGTGAGATGGGAGATGGGAGATGGGAGATGGGAGATGGGAGATGGGAGATGGGAGGTAGGAGATGGGATGGGAAGAGAAGTTTGTAAGCAAGTAGCTAAGTAAGGTTATCTGAGTAACCTTATTGTCTGGTGATTCGGGCGAGGTATTCCTCGTGCTGGGGATTGGTATGGGTTGGATGTGTGGATATGGGTGTTTAGTCTATGTTTTCTGGGGGAGGGGAGAAAGGGGGGGTAGGAGATGGGACGGCGGTAGTATAGGTTTGAGGATTAGAGCTCAGAGGGGAGGGGGTAAATTTTATCAAGGTTATGAGTATGGTCAGATATTTTCTTGTTCGTTATAGAGGGAGGAGAGATAATGGGAAATATTATTGAAGTAGCTCAAGTAATTAGAATTGTAGGTCTGAACAGCTCGATAGATCAATGGGATTGTAACTGCGACAGCGAATCAGGAATTACAGGGGAGAAAGAGAGATCGATGATGATGAGATTCTATCATTATCTAGGTACCTATCTAAATATAACCGAGAAGTCTAGATTCACGAAAGAATCCTTAATCATACGAATAATTAAGAATTACACGTGTAAATGATGTTGGATGTTGGAGGTTGCTTTGCATTGGCATGTGTTGAGATGTGAGATGTGAGATGTGAGAATGTGGAATGGGGAATGGGAAGTGGGTGAGTAAGCGAAAAGGATTTAAGGAGGGGGGAATTAACATGTGAAAATGATGGTTTGTAGGTATGTATGTATCAGGTATGTACTAGGTAGGTAGAGGGTAGGTAGGTAAGGGGTTGAATTGAAGATTTCAATACGATCACATGTTTTCTTCGAGGATCGTCTTTGAAGGATAGAGATAAGATAAGATGTGATGTGATGTTATATGATGTGATGGACTGATTCGGATGCGGATATGGAATTACATAATTACATAGTACCTCGTGGGTAGGTATGAGAAGACTAGGGATTTCTTTACTTGGTTACATTATTGGGTGGAAGATATTACTATGGGGATCAAGGCGCGGGAAACTAAAATAGATGGAACTTCTTTAACACTACCGTGACGCTGCAGCGCTTATGGATGTATGTATTGGATGCAATGAGATGCATAGGTGAGCGGAATGGGAAAGGAATGAGGATGGTTGAAGGGAGATGGGGAAATAGTTTCCGTTATCCTAGGGAAGGGAGATACATAGAGATGGGTGTCGGACCGATATGTATACCTACCTACCTAGCGATGTAGCTTTCGCGAGTGCGGAGGAAGGGAAAGAGGGAAGAGGATGGACGGTATGTGTACTGGAGAGGAATAGGAAATATTCGAATTGACTACGGGTATGAAGGACAATGTGGTGACGTGATGGAAGCATCCCGGTGATGAGAGAGTAGCTTTTGAAAATATGGTATACGAAAGAATCTGTGTTGCATGATAACACACATTGATGATGAAGAAAATATCACAATGATGAGCAAGGTCTAGATCACATCATCCAAGCTGAAACGATGACCCGGTTTAGGGATTTGTGTGGATCATTTCCCCTTCAGATCTCATCGGTTTCAGGTTTATTTAGATGTATACATTATGGTAGAATCCGGATCTCCTTCCGATTGATGGGAAATGTTGTCCGTCAGTCACGGTGTATGATACATTTTCATTGATATGATTGACATCCTTGATACGAGATTGCGGAAAATACCTCGAAGATTGTGATAAGTGGAAGGTGTTGATCTTTGTGCTGAGTCTAAGAAACATGCTGTCTTCGACGTGCTTGAAGAACTTTACATATGCTCGAGGAATAGATGAGGGTGTCGTCATGTGCAGTTCGATACGGTCACTATATTTCGGTACAATGTTCCGCTTTCTATTCCTCCTATGGATGAGGATACAGTGGATTAGTGTGCTGATATCTTATAATGTTGCTGTACTCCACTCTTTCAATATCTTCTACAAATGCGTAGTATTGAATGGATGAATAAGTATCTGTAATATAGGTATACATCCACACAACTCCCGAAAGGGTGTATGCCTACTCCGGCACTGTATACCAGTACTTCTACATACTTTTCAATACCTGTGAAATTTGAGACTACCCGTTTTGTCCCGGAACTACTCGATACTGTATTCTTGAAGTAGATCATACCTGCGGGTATTGGATGTGCCATGATACCTATGTACTCCAAGAACACGTGTAAATGGAAAATAGCATGGCTGGAGATTTATCCAAGGTCCTACGTACCATACTATTATCCGATTCTCCAAAAGAAGAAATTGCACACCATACAATTGTACATGTACATACAAAGTGACATCAAGACACGGGTCCTCACCAGCCGCTGTCAATATGGAAAAACCCTTAGACAGCCAACTTGGCAATTCTCTCCAACCCCCAACCCAAGCATACCCCAGCACCTCCACATCACCAACGCAAAATTACCTGACGACAAAATACGGTCTGTCTTGCATACACCCAGGGGAAACAAGCGTTACCGTCGCATTCTGTGGCGCCGGGCGCCAGCTGAAGTTTCCAGATCCAGGTTCCGCGTTGTGGAAACGGGGCGCGCCGGTGCGATTGAACGGGTGAGAAATTAATATTTCTTCAAGGGGTGAATTCATCCGCGGTGGGAAATCTCTCTACGGTATGTGGTGCATGAGAGGGTGGGATTGGGAGGGATAGAGAGATATGGGTATGCGGAGGGGAATTGCGAATGGTGCGGATTAATCGTTGGGGTGCCGAATGCGGTCGCGTGCATTTGGGGTGGTGAGGGTATTCTTGGTTCTGGGGTGTTTTTGTGGGGTACGTAAGGGATGGGTTGGTTATGGGGTGGGTCTTATTGGGAAGGGATAGATGGTGGATGGTTTTATGCTAAATGGAAATGGAACTATCCTATCTATCTATCGATTTCATGAATGAGGCTGGAAGGTGATGAAATAAAAACTGCTAATAATCATATCGTAACTCCATTTTTATCACGGTTATAGATAGAGTGTTCCAGATCCCTCCCAATCTACCATTACATATCGCACCATGCCATAGAAGAACGATTAAACGAAGAGACCAGCTCCTCGTATCCCCATTTTGCCAAAGTCGGGTTCTCAGGGGATAATGAGAGATAAGGCCGACTGGCCTTGGTTAAAACCCGTTGAGATTCATCCGTCTTCCAAGAATACGCCGCATGCAATATATATTGTACTCGGTATATTCTTACCGGAGCAAGGAGGGTGTGGCAGGGTGATATGAAGGGGAGAAGGGAGAGATAAGATTTCTGTTGCTGAAACGGGATACGACGTTGACACGCGAGATATGGCGAAGATGAAGATGATCTGATTTCATTTATGGAATTGATGAATTAGATACGAGGGAGATTTTATTGGTGGATAGCATGGAGAAATGTGCGAACGAATGACTGCCGTACTTCGGTACTGCAGATGATGAGCATCTCGTGGTCCGTCATCTCATGAATGATTGAAAGCTCGTGATTCAAAGACGGGAAGGAAGAAAGATACACTGGTACTAATTGTGAGTTTATAGATAGGATAATATCAAATCGATGATATTAATATGTGCGAGGCTCAATCCAGGAATCTGGTAGTCTGATGTTCTGCGTTAGAATGTCGTGCATTTAATTTATTTCTTGGCTGGTCGTAATGACTATCTTGCGGCTATATTGATAGCAAAACGCTATGGAAAATTGGTAAACGGCTTGGATGATATCAGGATGTTTGTTGAATGGTGATCAGAGGCGATGGAGACGAGCTACAGGTTTCATGTGTTATGGCAAGCCGGGAGAATGGGAACTTTCTTCCGAAGAGAAGTTGAGGAAATGGTAAAAGGCGGGGAAGCGAAAATCAGGGGAGCTGAGAATGGTATTGGCGAGGATCAGGAGGCGGCGAAAACAAGATATGAATGGAATTGTGGAACGTGACATGTCTACTTTACAAAACACACGAGTGGCATGGTCTGAACGCCTAAAAACGTCGGAGAAAATGGATAACTTGATAAATAGAGATTTCCCAAAGTCAACCGTGGTACTGGAATTTATCCAATCGTCAATAGATTTTCATATGACTTTCTAAATTCTAAATATTCTAGGAGGGAAAAGATCGCTATCTCAAGTATGAATGAGCATGAATGTTGAGAGCCAAGCAGGTTAAGATATTGTACTGAAACGGTTATATGGGAAGCGAGGGATAGATCTCTTCTATTGTCGAGGATAAAAGTGTATGGAAATAGTAATATGATACATGCACAACATTGAGCACATCATACAGGGAAGAAACCCCAAACAATTTTCTAGAGATCTCCGCGACATACAGATATTTTGCATGTAGCGCAAGAACTTTCGGAAAAATAAAGAGCGTTAAACTTTATGGATGTAGATCATTAACATTAAGAAGACGGAAGAAATATTGTACATTGAGACAGTTGATAGATTTTCCTTTGATTCAAGATTTCGAATGTTAGATCTTTATGTCGTGGAAATTTCCATTCGGTCTTGTTTAAACTCGTGAAACCATTTCATGGTTCATGGATGAAAGTGAGGGGAAAATCCTCTCGTTCTGTTTCACTTGATAGAAAAAGATCATCAGAAGAAGGTACTTGAGTACAAGTGATACATAACGCGATTAAAGAGTGCAATCGACGGGGAAATTGAGGAGCAAACTTTCGATCTTGTAAGGCGGCTTGGCACTGACATAAAGATCATCTCCCCAGATTTTGACCTGCGTTTGACAGCGGAGATGACGATTATTGAACAACAACCTTGGAAATAAAGTTTTGTCAAACCAGCTCAACACGATCGGGAAATGGATGGTGTGATGATTGAATAGATTCATTTGTTGACTTCAACCATTTCGTAATGATATGAAATGTATGACTATTGTAAACCATTTCGAATCGTTATCTTCCGAAGTGGATTCTCCAAGAAGTAGCTAAGCAGGCAGTTGAACTCTCTTTTGAAGCTAGATAGGTATTGTTGGGAAAGCCATCTGATGACGAATGGAAAAAGATGTGATCGAATCAACCATACCCCAGACTGAAGAGCGTGGGGGCATTTACCCTTGAAAAGAGCGGTGTCTACAGAATAATACTTTCCATTCCATACAACATAGCGGTAAATGCTTCTAGATTCCATAATCCTCGTCTATCATCAAATTCGTCAGGGCTGAGCCACAAGCTGACCTAATCGGCCAGCGCTCACCTAAGATGGCTATAGTTAGTTATGCTATATGCCCCATTATTGAACACGGCGAGGCCGTAAAAGCCTAGGGTTACAATAGGTAGGTAAGCTTTAAGATCCAGAGACACTTCGTAATTCTGCCTATTGATCTCTTGCGAGAGGTTTATGATAAGAGAAAGCTATTTTAGAATATGTCAAGGGCAGTAAGTGGTGCCAGTGTGTCAGCAAGTGCGGGACACTATATGAACAATACATCAATAACCAAAAGCGCAGAAAGTCGAATTTCCGTATTATTTTCACATTTTAGTTGTAGGAATGAGTAGGTATGTCGTTTGTTCGGTAAGGATTTAAAATGCGGGGGGCGGGGTTCGATAATGTGGAGAGAAACCTTAAGTGAACTTAAAAAAGAAACTTTATCATTTCAAATATTTCGACCTTTTTTTCGACAATAATGAGAAAATGTTTTGGAAATTATCTTCGAAGAAAATAACTACCTATTTGAGAATTGAATAAACTTCATACGTCTCAATTAAAATCTTACTCGATAAGTAAAAAGCTCAAGGATGAAGAAGAATAGTCAGTGCTTTGCAGACGCCACCCAATTTGGGGAACAGTGATTTTGCATTGCCTGAACGGTTTTTTTAATATATCGACGTGAAGCTTCATTTATTCCGGAGGGGTGGGAACCGAGAACGCCTAATCATTATTGGAATATGATCCGATTGTTTGTTTGCTCATTATTTCTTCTCACTCGAAGCAAACATGATACGATGAGTGACAAATAGACTACTAAATTTTGAAATGACCAGATAAGTTTTAGGACAGCTCGAGTTCCGAGATCGACCGGATGAGAGATACTGTATACTAAGTTTATGTATGTGCTATGTATGTGTGTATCAGAAAATCAATGTCGTGATAGACAAACACTCTAATTATGGAATCATGCCGGTCAATTTTCCTGCGCTCTGCAGTGCTTCTTGCATTTTTTGTGCCGGAAGACAAGAATAGTGAGACTATCTGCTGCTACCTGCTGAGGAAAAAAACTGATGATCTTTTTATCATGTGTTACTGTACTTTCTCAAAGGTCTAGAAGTATTTCAATCAATAATATCACTCAGATATCCAACATAGAAAAAAACAGCACATGCTTACACGGTCCGAAATGCCGGGAGAAAAACTCCATATTTTGATGAGGCGAGTGTGGAGATCTGGGGTAAAAGTCATCTGAAGAAAAACCACAACACTATTTCAAACAAGCTTCATCTTGCAACGTATCTTCTATTCACCTACTTTTTGCATTTCGTGCAGTACAGCATGTTGATCATTGTGCGCCGTGTGACTTCGGAGCGAGTGATTTTGAAGAGCAGGATTCAAACGCCTCAAAATTAATGTATCTTCCGTACCATTGATCAAATGCCATCGACCCCGCGATTCCAATTCCTGGAGAAATACCAGAAGTCTTCTGCTTGGCGTGGATCATCCACTCAATTAGCATTGTCGTTTGTGGAAATGTGGGAGATACGAAGATGAACACTTTCAATTCGCTTCCTTCCGACAGACACGGCTGATAATATCATGATTCTTGGTTTTTCTCGTAGATATTCAAGCTGGTTCAGATAGCGTGGGGCGTAAATCATGGTCTTAGATATGTCGTGCGTGAGCCATATTCGGGGCATTTCCGAGCCCATTCATGTTTCGTGGGTGAATACTACTCTCCGGCACTGTAAGCACGAGATGAACGTTTATGACATGAAATTTTCGCATCAATCTATGTATTTTGTCTCATTTTCGTATAACATTACATCGTTATAAAAGAAAACCAATTCGAGAATAAAGAATCATTGAACATCCCCGATGAAGCACAATCGATACGGGGCTTAATCAGGTACGAAAGCAAGATGGCCATATGAACGGGATCCTGGTGCTACCATGAATATGATAAGAATTCAGCTAGCCTAGTTCCTCACAAACCGCCTTGTACGGCGTGGATACCCATTTCAATTTTTCCCATCATGGGGTAAAGTCGGAAAAAGGACCTTTTAGGTAACACGACGGTAGCCGATGCACGCGTTCAGATAAGAAGAAGATATTCGCGACGACGAAAAGAGCGAAATGTGATGTGTCATCTCGGATCCACGCAGGTGTATTGAGGTTCGGAATTGACGGTTCCAACGATGTCACTTCACGATGTTACCATGTTGTTTGATCGGTGATATGCCTCTGTGGGGGTCTTTTGGGGTAATTGCTACGTGGGGATATTGAAAATGATAAGCTTCAATGATTGGAAAATGTGAGATAATTTAGAGTGCGATTGGAGTGTTGGCCTACATAAACTTTAATTGTGAGGTCTCGTAAGCAGCACCATATACAGGGCAAGAATCACGAATATTAGAAGATTTTTGAGTGTTTCGGCTATATCAATTCTTTATTTTTTGGAGAGCCAAAATATGACAGGTAAGAATGATATCTTTTTGTTTGCCGAAGTCGAGGAGAGATATACTCAGGGGAGCGATAAAGACTCCGAAGGATAAGCGAGTCATGAATTTCCCCCTGATTTACACCCTACAGGATCGTGGGGGGTTCTAGTACACATAAATGGTTCGTCGTTTTATTAGTAGCAAAGCGATACTAAAATTTCACAACGTAATCTTTTAAATACATCAATGATGAGTTGACATGTATTTCTTTCAATGTGGCTTGCGAATTTGATATATTGGGTGCATCAATTATCGAAGCATTATTTCTAATTCCAATAATCAAGTAGGTTGTGCATCTTTCCACATCTAGAACTTTATCTTGTGCTCGCGTCACATATATCTGGTTTTGTTATATCTACATCTTATCTTTCATGTGAAGACAGCATAGGAAAAGTTTGATTCATTTTGAGTTACTTATTCCATCGGCCGTATTATTCTCTCCGATCTCCAAAGTATGATTTCTTTAATAGCAGTGGGAAAACACCTACTAGCTGGTAATCTTGATATCATGTGGCAGACATCAAGAAGTGTCGGAGATATCGTGGAGAGATGGTAGATTTTGAGTTGTTCCATGAACCGTGGCTTGATGAGAGATAATCCAAGTGGGAAAAAGAACACTCGACTCTTAATTTATTCATAACTAGGGGAGAATAATCTCAGAAAGAATTCTAGACCACAATATCTTTAGAGAATGCTTGTCTTTTCGTTGCTAAAAAGGAATGTTGACCTTCGCCTATTGCTCTGCAGCGTCACCTGAAGATTTCATCCCAAGCTTATGGCGATAGCCGTTCCATTTATTGTATTTGTTATCTATATGTAGAACACAATCAAGCCAAGATGTAGATTTGGCCGTGAATATCTACGTCTTTGTCTCATGTTTATGTCTCAACGCCGTGCCGTTGCTATAAACCTGCAGAGACATTACTTTTTGTAATATACGATATTAAGTTCGAACTATATTCATAAGGTTGTGAATGAATTCTGTTCATATGGATCTTAAATGAAATTTCGAGTGTCTATATCTGAGACCCAACTCAAAGTATATCTTATTTGAAACATCGAATGGGAAACATGTGACTTCGACACCGTTTCACCAGATACCATCTTCATTTTGTCCAGAAGAACATCTCATTACCGCATGGCGATTATGTCATATTAAGCAGTCCTTAATGGAGGTTTCAACTGGCGGTACCCATAGTATAATTCGTATGGACATTGGATCCCTTGTTTATAACTTTTCTTGTAAAAATTATTAGTTGCAATCCGGCATCTTGCGTTCACTTTCAGCCATACAGTTGTATGAACGAAACAATGAAATCATTTGTCTCAAATTACTTTTTGTTGATCACGTCAGATAGTCTCCATTATTGGTATCTGGCATCCGTCTTCAGCGTCGATTTCGTTTGCACATCATCTCAACTGGGTACCTAGGTACATACACATTCATGAGCCATCTATAACCTGTTTTTCTACCTCAGCGACCCGTTGCATGATTCTGAGTCTCCGGTATTAGAGATTTAACATATTACGTACTACTACATCGAGCGTTTGAAGATTACAACATGCATACGGCAGCCTGCGTACCTGTCCATTTCTAATTCCATCCAATACCATGCCCTGCAGAAATCCGAGTAAGACCACACTACATTTCTCCACCCTTGGAATATAACTATTACATTATCGAACGAGGTTAAGAGCCGCAAACATGAGCAAAACCAAGACCACCCTGAAAGTTCATAGGTCGCCTCTCAAACGGTTCAATTTTAGCATACCCTATATATTCGTAGAGATTAAACCAGTGTCGATTTCTAACCCCACACGGGTATATGATTGCCGTTCCTTGAGCCAATCCCAATTCAACCCAATAAATTTACTTTACCATCACCAATCATGCTCATTCCCAAGAAAACCTCGTGTGTTGTCCATTTCAAACCCTTTCTATTCAGTTCGAATCCAAACGCCACTCAAAGTTCTTCAGGATCTGACAGTGAGGCTAACAATTTCTAATTCCATCCGTTTGTCGTGTTTTCTTTTGATACGAGGGACTACACCTTTTTATTTACGAGTTGGCATGCTCATTCGTACCTTACCCAAGGCATTCGGCTTCTAAAGAGTGACGACTCTATCCCATAGTATTCCATAGAATAGTTCCCAGGTACATCCGATATTTCAAGTAACCGAGATATAAATCATGTAATCGTTCTATATTATTGTCTGAAGTCGAAGTCATTTCTGATTATACAATAGTAAAAGTCATGCAAGCGAACATGTAGAATCATTATTCGCATATTTGAAGTTCTAATAATCAGTTTTCCATTGTACGCAGCACCACGCAGGAAGGCCTCCGGGTGCCTAGGGTATTTTAGCCTCTCTGAAAGTTGTTCACTCTTCCCTCTATAGGTCAAGGCCAAGTAGAGTGATATGCTGACCGGAAATACCCCGGATTACCCCGGGTTTGCCCAACCCTGTGCCCAACCCTAGTTGTGGGCCGTTGAATGGATGAAAGAAGCAACAAGCCCGTCCAAATTGTCATGCAGGCGCCCGAGACAATGACAGTTGCCAACTGTCGAAGCTTGAGAGGACCGAGATGCTTTGGGTGGAAGCTGCCATTTATTTGCCTACAAGTACTAGTCAAGGACAGTGATAGTTTTACTATCCAGAGAGTGGAAACTTTCAAGTTGAGTGGAAGCGATGGATCCGTTACTTGCGCTGGCTATCTTCATCACTGCCTCAATTCTGGCATACTTTTTCATCTGCATTTCGACACGCACAAAACTCTACCGAAGATGCACTTGCAAAGAGAAGATCATCTCGATCCGAAAACTGTCAGAAGCGACGGAGATTTTGAAAGCATCTACACTTCCCTCTCGAGCTCTACCAAACCAACGACTTGTGCAAGTTTTCTCCGTTTCCAACGCATTTACAACAACCGATCAAGCTTTTTACCGATCATTCCTCACGAGAGCTAAATCTCTATTGAAGACACCTGATGAATCGACCTCCACCCTACCCAAAGTGCTCTCCATTCTCAATGATGAGATCGCCCCCTCCATCTCTAAAAATGGGATCACCCCGCTCAGTCCCCTAATCCAAGTCTTCTGTTTTCGATTCGTGCTTCTCAAATTCTTTCCTTCCGAACATGCGAGAACCACGCAAATCTCCATCATACGCATAACCCAACTCATCAACTCCCTCTGGATATCATCCAAATGTTCCTGTTTCACCCAGCCCTCGCAAATCCCAATGCAGAACTCGTTGCGGCGCGAACTCGATTCGCTATCCCTATCCAGCAACTACGAGAATGAAAATCCACTCAACATTCTTCTCCCTGCATACGAAACGCTATGGAGAATTGTCCTTCGTTGTTTCCTGGAAATTTCATTTCGGCACTCGTCCGAGGTTTCGGCTGAACGGAAAGATGTTCTCGCTCGATTTTTGACAAATATGACAGCTGAACAATTTAGCGAACGGAAGGGAAGATGTTCGGCTCGAGATATCGTCTTTGAAGCTCTGCGTTTATATCCACCGACCAAGAGGATTTATCGGCAGAATGTAGACAATGGACCAATCTCCGCAGTCGATGTTGAGTATATACAAAGGACTGAAGAGATCTGGGGAACAGATGGAAATGAGTTCAGACCAGAACGATGGAGTGAATTGGAGAGTAAAGGTAACATGGCATATAAGGAAGCATGGATGCCGTTTGGGAAAGTTAGTTTTCTGTGCCCAGCATCGAAGGTGGCGCCAATGATGATAGGAATGTTGGTCGGTTGTTTGATTGATACTTTTCGTAGTGATAGTTGGATTTTGGAAGGCGAAGGTGTCAAAAATGTAATGTCGAGGGAAATGCCGCTGGACAATGGGAGGGAGGCGTTTGAGGATTTATCACTGAGACGGTACACTAATAAAATGTTTGAGATGTAGATGGGAAGGAAGATGTTGTTCTTGGCCCGAAAAATAAAACAGCAGGCTCTGAATTAAATAATCATATTTTATTCACAAGACAAAAAACTATTTCACCTTTCAAGCTTTAGTGATATGACTAGATCCATTCCTCTCGATTCTCAGCTCTTATTCTTAGCCTTAATATTGTCTATAAAACTCCTCGTTCCATTGCATATTTCTCCTCGTCTCTATGAGCCCATTCTTAACAACCCCTTGTTCTCATCTGGAAACTCCAGGATATCCCCATGATTGATATTATAAAAACCCCAACATTTCCAACTTCTTAACCACACCGTCAGTATCAATGTCTACCGCGAACTCAAAACAGTTCTCACCGCTTGCCCAGAGTTTCTCCAAAACTTCTGCACTCGACGATATTGCGTATTTATGGCTTCTAAGTTTGCCATCTCTGCAGATCCAAGGACCCGTATGCAGTTTCTTGTCGAGTTTGGAATGCTCTGCACATCGTTATCAACAATTTCGGGGTTCTCTTCTGTTCCTATACACTTGCCGCAATTCATGACTATCTGCCTCTGATGCCTATGGCTAGCTGATCCCAGCTAAAGGTTGCTGGTTTCACTCTTGATGTAGGTAATTGAAACCTTTCGTTTCTCAAATTGGGCGTGGGCAAGAATGATTCTTAATGGCTTGCTTTACTACACAAAATCAAGAGCCATAAGAATCGACAACAAAAAAATTGATCAGCTGCATTCGTAGCTCCAAACTTGATTCCGCTGACTCCGTTTCTGAAGCAAGTAAGATAAGTCCAGCGTTCATCGCGTTTCAACTCATAAACAGACATATAAAGCTTGAAAGCAAAACCCGGTGCCGGCAGTTTGATTATAGGGTTTGGAGGCAGAGTGACAAATGTATCATCAATTGTCTGAACATGAATGGGAGCTGCAAATGCCGCGATCACGGATGAAAGAACCTGAAGGGTGATAAGAAGTCTCATTTTAATATTGTGTTCGACTGCCAGAACTAGTGCAGGATTGTAGGACTGTTTTCCTACCGAGGTAGCTACCTAGAAGTTCGCATTACTTCTTTCGTAGCAACCAAATAAACTGGAAATTTTTGTGAGGTTCTATTTTCATCGCAAACACTGAGGTAATATTGCGGACCTCTGGCTTGAGTAGTCACTCATTCATCAATCGCCATGCTTACGAGGGGGTATGTAATACTTATAAATATGTCTTTCATTATTATCAATCCTTTCTCTCTCTACTTATATTCTTTATTCTATATACTCTAGCGCTGATATCAGCCATATTAACAGTAATGTAATGACGCATTTGGTGATACTTAGTGTATTCCAACTCCCAGAAACGAGTCATAAAAACACGTAAAAACATGTAAAAACACGTAAAAAATATGTAAAAATAGGAAACAAAAAAGAGTTTAATGGAGATTAAAAAATTAGGCTTTGTAGCCACGAAACCCTTCTGATGTCGGTGTAAGACCAATATCGTCAATGCCTACAGCCTTTTTTAATGTTCGCTGTAACAATCCTGCGTCCCTTCCCATGATAGTGGTTCGGTGGGCGTGGCGGGCCATATCCTGCAGAACTATAAAATTTAGTACACATACTGAAATTAGGCTATTAAAAACCTACTATCAAAACGAATCGCTAACATCATCTCCGCAGCTTCTTGCAGCGCTTCGACTGCCGATGATTGGAATCGAAGATCATTTTTGATCGATTGAGCGACCTGTCGTACAAGTCTCGCAAACGGTGCTCGAGGTATGACGTTCGCCCAAGTGCTTGTATAAAACTTTATCTCTCTCGATAAAAGTTCTAAATGGAGTCAATCTGATAATTCGAACCCCAAAATTTTATGAATAGACTTACTCAAATCACGAACTCTCTTTCCACTGGTTAATATTCTCCTCGGCTTGTGCTTAAATATGGGTATCTTGGGGTTTTTGATACCCCTTTTTGGTGTAGACTTTCGGCCAAGTAGAGGCTTTTTCGCTCGACTAGATTTGATGGTTTTACCACCAGTTTGAGCTCGTCCTTTATGATTGCCAGGTCGAGGCCAAGGCTGAGAAGTGGGAGAGCGTGTGGGAGAGCGTGTAAGAGAGCGAATGGGGGATCGTCTTGGAGAGTGAAGGGGGGATTGATCTGGCGTATGAGTGGGACCATTTCGAGACCCTTGTGACGCTTCTTGATCTGGCATTTGTCTAGATCGCCTAGCGGTTTCTCCCCTTCTGATTGTAGGTAGTTCCCGTAAGTACTGCCTTCGCGTTGAACATATAATATCCCTCACACTATTCAAAAAGTATGAGACGTTTTGCATGAAATTCTGTTTGGGACTTTTAATAAATAAGAGTGTTAGTACCGATTGCTACACCGGAGCTGTGAGGGTTACATACTAACGAAAGTGAATATAATCCAGCACCCTTCTGAATATAATATGAATAGTCTTAAGTAATAAAAAGGAAGCGTTTGTGTAAGAGTTTCCATATTTCCATTTGTAGGGCGAAAGAAGTAAACATGTTCATGTGACACAATGGATCGTCTGTGCTCCGCTCTAAATTAGGCCTCATCACTACCGTATTCTTTTGGAATATTGGCAATGCGCTAGTAAGGATTAATACTTTAAGGTTAATTTCGAGCCAATTGGCTCGCTTTTCAGTGGAGTCAAACGTCTCAGAATAGAAGTTTTTAATAGAAATACTAGGCATTTGATGAATAATCCATTAAAGAAACGAATCAAACAACTCCGGTGGTTACCGCAACCCTAACCCACGAAAAACTCAAACAAATAATGCTTACTAGCGCATTGCCAATATTCCAAAAGAATACGGTACTCTCTATTTTCAAGACTTTTTTTCCAGCGAAAGCTTATCGGCTTCTGGCAACCAAAGCAAGCTATGATGTAAAGAAGCAAGGACGCATGGAATTTACTTTTTTTCCCGGAGGAGAGTGAGGAGTCTGAAGAGTATACTGAGCTTCTATACAAATTTTCAAACCATGATGTAAAGAAACCGAACGATTGTTTTTATCTATAATTTCAAAATAAGAGGAATATGCAGCAACAGCAAGAGCAACAGCAATTTCAGCGCCACCGGCGATCCCAATATAGGTTCGAGTGCTGTCCATGCAGGAAATGTTGTGGTAAAGTTCAATCTATAAGGGTTATTAAAAAAACATATAGATCAAAAGCGCTGCACTGATATACAGCTACATGAGATCAATCGCAATGCTTATCTACCTGGATCGAAAAAAAAATATAACTGTTGGAGGCACCCCGTTGGCAAATTAGTTGATCGAGCTACCTTTTATAGACACAATCGAAGGGAGCAGCCTTTCAGCAGCAACCCTATTATTCACAGCGATGATCGGAATTCGAGGGAGTCGTCAAATTTCAATAATTTCAATATAAATAACCAGGAAAACCAAGAAAACGAAGAAAACGACGATGATAATAGTGCTATTTGGGGCTACGCAGCGGACGAGGTTAGAAGAACATTAGATGAAACCCGGGCAATAGAGGACTTTTTGGATGATGGCGATTCTGGGAGGCAACAGGTGGAGCTGGATGCAGATCTAGAGTTTCAAAGTCGAGAACTAGATCATATGTAATGTGATTCAAATGAAGGCTTGGATAGTGATACTATGGGTAGTAGTGACGGTTCTGGTAGTGGTAGTGAATCAGATCAAATAGACTGGAGTAATCTGAGTATTTTTCTACTATTTAAAAATAAACTGATACCGAGATGTTGATTGATTGGATTACACTCGAAACGCACACTATACGTATTGGACAACAAAAGATGATCGAATTTATAACGAAATATAGAGACTATATCGCCAACGCCTTCAACTCCCTTTCAAATGTTTGAAGGAAGAATGTGTAGCTTTAAAAGAAAATGGGTTTATAATCCAAGTGGATTGATTGTTGTGTCAAAAGTTGTATGGCTTATACTGGAAGCAAGAGTGCAGACGACTAATTCTTGAATGATAACCCACGACGTCAAGTTCTACATTGCTAAAGCGGTTTCATCTCGACCTAATTGAATAGAGAAATGGTTGAGAACGTACACGAGCCACAAGATTCGAAGAAATTACGATGCAGCCAACACGTAGATCTCCAGCTATGTTCACTTCCCCGCCACACACATCCACGTCTTCACCAAAAGCTTCCTTGAAAAAACACGATATGTTGATTATCATTTCCCATCTAAACACAAATTCCTTCCAAAACATGTTCGAGTTGTTGTATCCCACAAGCTATAATTCGATTCGGCAACAACACAATTTTCTCGCCATCCCAAATCTCCCCTCCTACACACGAAAAAGCAGCTCAATAGATCAATCTTTAACCTTCAAAACATAATGAACGAATCCAAAGAGCACCCAATAACTCTATGTAGGTAGCAACAGATAGTAGAAATAATCTCCATCTCAATCTTTCTCATCCACATAGCCTAACTCCCACATCCACAAAGTCGCCATAGCCAAGATAATCGAGTCTCTGACTCGGACACAAAGGAGATACGTCCACATTCAAGTACCACTCTTGATTCTCCGACTAACTGGAGAAGAGAAGAGAATAGTACGAGTCAAAAAAGCTATCTCTTCAACACTTCTCAACGAGATATTCACCCGTCCTCCAAATCCAAATCCAAATCCATGCATACGCAACAATTATACAAACGAGTTATAGTATACGCTTCACTAGTTTATCTGGTGAGATACATACACCGTCCAACATTATATCAACTTGTGAACGGGAAGAAAGCTGGGTATACATATGGAAAGCAATGCTACTATGCATTTATCCAATTTCAGGATGATGTTTGTGTATCCGCGCAATTCTAAACACCCCGCATGGTTTTGGAGAGTAACAAACAGTATCAATAGCCATCTAATTCTACACGTCAGAATTTCATTTCGGGTATTCAGTATGATATGGTATGATCCATCATCCCACATAAAATTCAAGATAAGATAAGATATACACCCTCTTCACCCGAACAAAGCTAGCAAAACAATATTGAAAGATGTCGTAATATTTGGAATCCGGTCTACTTACGAGATACATCCCATCAACTCTTTTCCTTCCTATCTCAAAATCCCAATATGCACCACAAACCCGGAGTCATCTCCTAATCCACACTCCTGGATGCCTCCCTCTTGTACACGCCACACTCTAAAGAATTTGTTGAATTCCTTAAGCCAGGATTCAAACACATCCGGAGAACGGAGTTGTTGGGCTATGATGCAGAGAGTGGGATTGCGGGGTTCTGTTTGATCTTGATTTTTGGTAGATGGAGATGTGGAACGGAGACGGCAGAGATCAACACATGTTTGGACGAAAGGTGGGATCAATGCGTCATTGTAGATGCAATCGCAAGCTATGATTGTGTCGAAGCTCGTGGTGGTTTCTGAGCAGGTGAGGGAGGGAGAGACGACGTCTGTTTCCCAGTCGAGGGTTAGAGGGATGATTTTATTGGTTGAGAGTTGTTGAGTAGTTGATGTGGATGTGGATGTGGATGTGGATGTTGACGATGAGGTTTTGGATTTTCGGGGTTTGGATTTGGAGTTTGTTGTACTTGATGGTGTAGAGGAGTTGGAGGAAAGATTTTGGGAGAGAAATTTGAGAACATATGGTTGGTCTGTAAGGATGTATGTTTGGAGAAGGGGTGATAGAGTAAGGGCTATTAGGCCGGATATTCCACAACCTAATTCAAGGACTACTGAATCAGGGGTGATTATCTGATGCTTGAGGAGTGGATTTGTAAGTGATGATATCCATTTTGCGAAAAGGGGGGTGATTTTCCATATCACTGTGTATCATTAGTAAGGAGTCAGACATAGTGATAGAAGGATTGATATACCTGCTCCAGTGGTTCCCCCATCACGGTTTGATGATAAGATTGTAGGAGATTGGTAAATCGTGAGATCTCTACCGTTAATGGTGAGATCCATTTCAGTAGCCTTTGAATCTACGAATCCGAGATTCTGGGATGGGATGGTTTGAGAGAACAACAGAAACGCCTCTAGAATTAATTATTTTAGCTTGTTAACTTGGCCAAAATTCAGGGTCTCAGACATGTCGTATGAACGCGCATGAATCCTTTGATACTCTTGGAAAGATGACACGAAGTTGTGGTCATAATCTCAAATTTGACCACACCGAAACGTCTCAACGACCACTTCGATTAATTATAAAAGCAGCCAAGTGTTAACCCCCTTTTCGGTAAGCATCTCGCGCCACAATAAACTGCTGTGTTACCAAGGCTCTCACACTGCCTCGTTCCAAGCAATTGGAAAATCACTTGACTGTATTGAAACTCTAGAAAAGTGAAATGGATATGTGATAAAAGCGTTTGTTTACCTTCTTCGGGGTCCTCCACTTCTGGGCCAAGAGAATCAAGAAATGGTTGTACGCGGCCAGCCATGATTGAACGTTGTAGTTGGCCTGGTGAAACCTTTTCAATATACCTGGGTAATCCTTTGGTCTATCAGAGAAATAGGGCTTGTTGTTGAGAAAGTTTACTGCCTATCAGATTCGTTTTTGTGAGACTATCGAAAGTGTAACAGCTGGCATATCAGACATGCAATAGTAGTATGTACTCGAGTAGAAAAAAGTTCTTCCCTTTTTGCCGTATTGACCCACCTATATGAATCGTATGTGAATGATGCTTACCTGTACAGGCAATCAAGCACGAGCGGTCAGGAGCTTGAGGAGATGTAGAGAGGAAATGTACAGAGTCGATAGATAATGATAATGATAATGATAATGGCTGAATGAGGTGTGATGTATGATATCCATTTCCTTTCTATCTCAAGGTTTAGCTGAATAGACAATCAGAATTTTGGCATGTAAATGATCCTTGGATAGTGAATAGATGGATAGTGGATAGATAGAAGCAATGACCAAAACATGCTATGATGTGCATATGCTCGCTCCAACATCGCCAATGTCAGCAGCATCCAGGTACTGTAAGATAGATAGAGAGTAGATGTAAGTAAGATGTAACTGTGAGTAAGACGTTTAAAAGCACAAGCAGATATCCAGGTATATACGCCGTACATACATCGGCATAGCTTTACTAGCAGGGATTTTTTATACAGACGAGACAGAGTAGATGGTTGAAGCTTATTGCCTCCGCTCAATGCTGTATGTGTATGGTCTAGGCTCTCCAGCTACGTCGTACTTCGTATGTCAATTCCATACTCAATCAATGCTTGATGAATGAATGGGTGAGAGAGAAAGTGGCAGCTTTGAAATAATGTTGACCTGACCAGATTATGTGTGGTGGACCTTTTGGTGTTTTGGTGAGTAACCGTGCATTTAATTCAGCATCACCAATTGGTCAAGCTCTGAACTTTACTAGACGGGATCTTGGTTGCTCCAAAATAAAGGAAAGCAAGGCAGCGTCATAATCCATCTACCTGGCTATTATTCAAGGCGATTTAATATTTCTTCCCTTTTCCCCAGCCTCAATTGCTTCCCCGAAATCCCGAATATATTTCAACCATTTCCTGGAAGTGAATTGAATTGAAAAGAATTATATCTTTTCATTGAAAATCCAGTACTAGTAGCAGCTAGAGGTACTTATACACGAATTCAAGACTATTCGCGTATCTCTCTCGTCTGCTAAATACATAACACGAAGTCAAATCAACAAAGACCGGAGCTTGCGCACCACCAACTTCCTTTACCCATCAAACACATCAACTCTCAACAACTGAGCTTCATCGCCACCCGATCAAAATGTCGTCCTCAGGGTCGCTCAAGAACATTTCCGTTCAACCTAAATTCTATCACTCACCACCTTTCAGTGCAGAGGTGCCGGGCCACAAACCCGTCAACGGTGAGACTATTCCAAGAAGACACCCTTCGACAGCCAACAAGCTTGCGACCCGCCCTTCCGAAGATGTTTCAACTGTTTTCGATATCATCAAACGAAGTTCCGAGAAGTATGGCAATGCGAAAGCTGTCGGAAGTCGATCATTGATCAAGACTCACCAAGAGGTGAAGAAGGTGAAGAAGATGGTTGATGGCGAACAACAAGAGGTCGACAAGAAATGGACATATTTCGAACTCAGCGAATACAAATATATGAGCTTCTCGGAATATGAAAGGTTAATCTTACAAATTGGAGCTGGTTACAGAAAGCTTGGATTGAACAAAGAGGATCGAGTACACATTTTCGCGGCAACAAGTGCTCATTGGTTAGCAACTGCTCATGGCGCAGTTTCTCAATCGATGCCAATTGTTACCGCATATGATACTTTGGGAGAGGAAGGTCTCAAGCATTCCTTGGTTGCGACCAGAGCCAAAGCTATCTTTTTGGATCCTCATCTATTACCAACCTTGATCAACCCTCTCAAAGAAGCCAAAGATATCCAATTTGTAATCTGGAACAGTCAGAATGAGGTTAAGCAAGAGAATATCGATAGCCTCAAGAAGGCACACGAGAAGCTCAAGATTTTGAGTTTCGAGGAATTACGAAAGCTTGGCGAGGAGAATCCTGTTGAACCAGTACCTCCCGCACCAGAAGATCTGTGCTGCATTATGTATACTTCCGGTTCTACCGGGCCACCAAAGGGTGTACCCATTAAGCACAAGGCAGTCGTGGCAGCTGGTAAGTAAAATCTATTGTTTGTGAAATGTATAAGTTGTGCTGACTAGCGCTTGCGCTTACTATAGTTGCTGGTGTCAATGTGATCGTTGAACCATATCTTGGTCCAGGTGACGGTCTTCTGACATATCTTCCTCTTGCGCATATTCTCGAGTTCGTTTTCGAAAATGCTTGTCTGTATTGGGGTGGAACTATGGGTTACGGAAACCCTAAGACTTTGTCGGATACATCAGTTAAGAATTGCAAGGGAGATATTCGAGAATTCCAGCCAACCGTTCTAGTTGGTGTTCCCGCCGTGTGGGAGTCAGTCAAGAAGGGTATTGTTGCTAAGGTTAATGGTGGAAGCCCGATCGTCAAAAATCTCTTCTGGGGTGCACTTTGGGCTAAGAACAACCTCTTACGTTATGGTCTTCCAGGTGCTGAGGCTTTAGACGCACTAGTATTCAAAAAGGTTAAGGAAGCCACTGGTGGAAAGCTCAGAATTTGTCTGAATGGTGGTGGACCAATCTCCAAAGATACTCAGAGATTTATTTCCATGGCCATTACGCCGATGATTAATGGATATGGTTTAACTGAAACTACTGCTATGGGTGCTTTGATGGATCCTATGGAATGGACTGATGAAGCACTGGGTGACATCCCTGGTTCTATTGAAATCAAGCTTGTTGATTTCCCAGATGCTGGATATTATGCAACCAACAAACCAAACCCCCAAGGAGAAATTTGGATTAGAGGAGAACCCGTCATGGAAGGTTATTACGAGAATCCCGAAGAAACAGCAGAAGCCTTGACTGCAGACGGATGGTTCAAGACTGGTGATATTGGAGAATGGGATAAGAATGGTCATCTTAACATCATCGACCGAAAGAAGAATTTGGTCAAAACTCAAAACGGAGAGTATATTGCCCTTGAGAAACTCGAATCTATCTACCGTTCCGCTACAGTTGTAGGAAATATCTGCGTTTATGCCGATCAACAGAGAACTAAGCCAATTGCTTTGATCGTTCCAGCTGAACCTGCCTTGAAGAAACTCGCCGAAAGAATTGGTGTCCCAGGATCCAGTGTCGAGGAATTGGTACACGAGAAGAAGATTCAAGATGCAGTTTTGAAGGAATTACAACAAGCTGGTAAGGCTGGTGGATTGTCAGGAATTGAAATCATCGAAGGTATTGTCTTGTCAGATGAAGAATGGACCCCTCAAAATGTCAGTATTTCCCTCCTTCTACAACACGGTGCATGCTAACATTAATAGGGATTGGTAACATCTGCACAAAAATTGCAGCGAAAGGCCATTTTGGAGAAGTATAAGAAGGAGGTTGAGTCTGCATATGCTAGGAACAACTAATTGATTTCAAAAACAATTTGGTAATGGTTTACGAAGAATACGTAGGTCATGGAGATTTTGTGGTTTTTAACTTTCGGTGCGGTTCGTTCTGGTGGTTCGCATTTGTATGATAGTCTGGCAGTATTGGTAGTATAGGCAGGCTTTGCTTAGGTATTTTTAGTTTAGATTTCTTATGAAAGTAACTTATTTATTAATTACACCCAACATATTCATCACTTTGATTGATATCACTTTGATGCGTGAACATTTCTCTTCCATGATGTGAGATAATAAGGAATAGATTTGGAAGTAGAGTGGGTGGGTACTACAACACAACCAACGCACCCACTGGCACCGCACTTAAATCTTAAAGGTCACGGGATCACCTATCGTGGAAGTCGCGACTCGCGTTCAACCTCATTTTCTGAAAGGAAATCGCGACTCAACAACCTTTCTCGCCATCTAAAATCACTGTTTCCAACAACCCCAACCTTAATTGGATGATCTGAAAAGGATCCAAGTCCATTTCTCTTTACGCCGTACAAGCTTCTGCTTTTAATCAAATCAATTATTACACTAAATTGATGAAATGAAATGATTTGCGACCGTACATAATCTTTATATTTACAAGTTACACATTTTTAATCTCACAATTGGAACATTTTACATCAACTACCCCAATCGCATCAACTCCGCACATGCCATTAAACTTTCCTTTTGCCAATTTCCTTAATAACGTCTATAACATGGCTGGCAATCCTCGCCTTAGCGGCTTCCTTCAGCAAGAATCTGATCCGACTCACCCACCATCACCATCCCCTCAACCACTCCAACAACGTACAGATCGTCAAGCGATGGCACAGAAGTTAAGAATACTTCCCAAGAAGCAACGAGATGCATCTGCCAATATGAATCGAGCTCACAATCAGGAGCCCGTCTATGAACAGCCGGCTGAATTTTCGCAAAGAAATACAGTTCCTGGAACAAATCAAATACAGGCAGAATACAACCCAGAGGAAGAGCAAGAAAATGCAGAACATTTCGAGGACTCTACAGTAAACAGCGCCTTTGATGAAACAATCAGCCAGGGAAACTTTCGAGGTGGACAGGACATGGGAGTAATGCCTACTGGCGGCAATCGTGAATTTGATGGCGGATATCACAGAAGGCAGCAGGAGGAGCTGGAACAAAATAATTTCCACGTTGCACATGAGAATGGTTACGACAGGGACTCGCCACAGGAGTCTGTATTCGCTCGTCAAGAATACATTGAAGATGCACGAGCACCCCTTCAATCGCGTAAGATTTTTCACCAACCTAATGGTCAAGGACCACAGACGCAAGCTCTTGGAGCCCCCATTTACAAGCAAAGTCAGACCCCCAAACCTGCCATTCAGTCAGAAATACCACTACAGTCCCAAAAGCCTCATCGTAATAGCCCGAGCAAACCAAAGACATTTGATCGTTTCAATCACGCTATTACAAATCGTCCTAAGAATGGAATGCAAACAATTGGAGGTTCTCGAAAACGAGGTCTTGACGATGGGGTATTTTCGCCAAGGCCCAAATCTGGAAAAGCTCAAGTTGAAGTATTGGAAAATGCGATACTTCCCGACAATATGCAATATCGTCTTCCACCGCTCTCTCCTCAGGATACGCAGCAAGGTCAATCCGAGGGATCTTCTGATGGTGAGCGATACTCTGAAGACAGCACTCACATGCAAGAACAACCAGCCCTTCAATCTCGACCAAATTTTCATGCAGGAAACACACAACAACAAATTACCCATTTGAACCGTGCTGATATTCCACTTGATTATGATGATGCCGCTTTGAAAAACATGGATTATGAACAACTCAAAGAAGAATCTTTTGAAGGTCCTTCGGCTCTTAGCGAGCAGCCCAGCGAACCGGACCTATCACTTTCTGATCGTCCTATTTATGAACGTGTCAGTCACCATGTTGAACAACTTCGACCAAACAATCAAGAAGAGATGGATAGGCGGCGAGCAACTATGATTGAATTCTTTGGTAGTTTATCTAAAAATGATTGGGAAGAAGCAGGTGATTGGTTTTTATCAAGGTTTTCGGATACTTTAGAAGCATTGAAGAAAGCTAGGAAAGAAAAAAGAGATATGGTTGCAAAGTTCGAAGAGGAAATTGAGAAGAGGGAAAGAGATGTCAGGGGATGTTTGAGGACCTACAATCAAGATATGGAACGTATGAAGAGGGGTGCTAAGGGAGTTATCGAGGGAAATAATGTATAAATGAATGGGCTTGATACAATGGCTAGTTGTGCTGCTAGCAGTATGTGGAGGGTTTCCGGAGTGTATGCTGCATATATTGTCTGGAAACCCCAAGTGCCTATAAGCAATACGTTGAGCTTATATATAGCTACCAAGTTATCTTAATATGTAAAGTATTATTTGGCTGGACACAAACGCGCTGGAATTTGGGGTCTGGGAATGGAATGAAAGGGAAAAGGGAAGAAAGGAAAGGAACGACGAGATGAGTCTTGTACTTTGTTTGCATTTGGCAGGGAGTTTTTTGCTGGCTATTATGAGATACCCATTTGCTTCTTTTTATTAATGGAAATGGAATATACAATGCGTTACAACTTAACTTCTATGTACTCGCTGAGATGACGTCGATGGGCAATGATCAATTTTGACTAGAATTTGAATTGTTTCAAGACTACCTCCCCCATCCCCGTGGCCAAGCGAGAATCTTAATGATGAACCCTTCAGATTTGGGGACCTGATGATGGCACAAGTATTAGCTCTGAATCACTAGGTAGGTAGAGATTTTGATACACTGATATACTTGATAAACTTGACCTTGATATCTTATTTTTTAAGACGAGAGCCTCTGCATCTTTTGTCAAGGGCTCGTCTCTAATATCAGTTTTCGATTCTAATCTTTTAAGGACCTCTTATAGGTAATCAGGTGGGCGAATTACAATTTCACAGAAGTCTGTCTCTCTATATCTACGAGTCACGCAAGCTCTCAACGCCTAGCTCAATCTCACAATCACATTATCAACAATTCAAACCTTTTCCACCTGCACGACTCGTCTATCTCTCCCAACCACCAATCGCAACTGTCTCCCCTCCCAATCCTCCCCCAGTTTCCCGCCTCTGAAGATCCCCCGTCGCACTCCGTCGAGATATAATTCATACGCGGGATAATACCCATCGACGAAGATTTTTACTTGTTCCTCGCTCATTCCCGTTCCTTTTTCGCGGCGCAAGACGGCTTCTTGTTCCTCTCGCCAGGAATACACGTATTGGGTGTCGAGTGCGTCGATGTGGATGAAGATATCGAAGGTGTCGGTTAGGATGTCGTAGTCTTTTAATTTTTGGTTGATGAAGAGGAGGGAGGAGAGGGGGTGATCGCGCAGGGTGGTGGGGTTTTGAGGGGAGGAGGGGAGAGAGAGACTGTTTTTGTGCAGGAGGGAAATGCTGGTTGGTGGGAGGGAGCGGAAGCCTACGCACCAGCCTTCGAAGAGGATGATTTGGATGGGTCGCTGGTTTTGGGATGAGTCGTTTACGGTGCGGGTGGATGGGGAGCGGTCTCCGAGTCCGGAGTGGAGGGATTTGTCGTATGAGGGGATGGGGGTGGGGGTGGGAGGGGATTGGAGGAGAGAGCTGAAGAGGCTGCGGGCGAGGGGAATGTCGTGGGTTCCTGGGAGGGTGGAGGTGGTTAGCTGGGTGGTTTGGTGCGTGGGTGTGTGGTTGGGGATTGAGATTGGGATTGGGAATTGGAGGGAGAGGAGAAGATAGAGGAGATATAGTAGAGTGAATGGATGATATAGAGTCAATTGTATTATAACGGAAAAGCAAATAAATAAATAAATACCCGGTTCCCCTCTAAACTGCACCAATTTATTCCCTTCATTTTCCCTCGCCAACTTTTCCTGATCCGCGCGAGTCAAATACAAATCATCGATACTCAACACGAGCGTCTCGAGCCCATGATCTCGAGTGAGGATTTCGTAGAGAGTATTCACGAGGGTGGTTTTTCCGGCGCCTTGGATTCCGTTGAGACCGATGATGAAGGGACGCGTGGGATGGGTTTTTTGGTGCAGCGATAGGTAGTGAAGAATGAAGGGGAGGATGTGAGGGGTTTTATCGTCGATTATGGGAGGGGTGGGGAGGGGGGAGGAGGAGGAGGAGGAGGAGGAGGAGGTCATGGTGTGTGTGTGTGGTTGTGGAGGGAGGGGGATTATTGAGGGTGGGAAGGTTTGAGAGGGGGTATTGTGGTTTGAGTACGACGTAATCTTGCGTGGGGTGGGTGGTGTGTAGTGTGGGGAAGATAACGTGTGAAAAATACTAAGGAATATCATTCAGGGCATTGAAACTTTCTGAACTTAACGAAATCGAGAAATCAGAAGGAGAAATAAAAGATCTGCTTTGATATATCGCTAGAGATTATAAAGCTGTAGAGAGTATTACAAAAAGCATTATTTTTATATTAATTGTAATTATTTTGTTATTATATAATCATTATATAACTAAAAGAAAAGATTCTTTAAAAAGTAAGATAACAACTTAATAAGAATAACAATCTGATAATTAGATTCTGAAATTACTTCAGGCTTCAGAATGATACTCGAGTATTAGAAGATATTCACAATTATTTTCTAACTATTACATATATAGTAATTAAAAAACATTTTATAATCTTAAAACTTGAATCTTATAGACTTAAGGAATATATAGACGGAGAAACTTGATGTAGATAGGATATCAAAATTAATTATAAATGATTAAAAAAAAGAAAAATTTGTTTGAGAAATGTAAAGTAAGATCTTATATTTATTTATCTTATAAGAAGAAAACACTTATCTTATTAAATACTCTACAAATTTAAAATTATAAATATAGAGCTTCAAGTATAATAAGTATAGATATTATACTAATTGTTTAGATTCCTATTAATCAGAAAGAATTTAACTATCTCAAAAGAGGAGATGGTGAACGTTTTCTTGATTATTAATAATTAATATGCTTTCAAGGGAGAATTAGAAAGTTAGTACACTTAGGCGAGTCAGGATAAACGAGGGGTTGGTACATACTCTCATACTGTGAGGTAATAGGAGAAATCAAAAGTTAGTACATACTGAGAGGGAGTAGGTAGGGAAAGGAAAAGTCAGTATACACTAAAGATAACTCGACCAACACATTTTGCTACTTCGTGAAAATGATCTAGTTCTCTTTCTATAGACTAATATTTTGAAAAGACAAATGCTACAATAATAATAGTTGTAATTAAAAAGTCCTGCCCCCACCCTTTTAATGAAATATGATGTCCCTACCCCCATTCCCTCTGAATATAATAGATGTGACAATCAATCCAAACCCCCTCTCCCTTACGTCTCCATACCATGCTAATGTATCTGTTAAAGGATGATATCGAGTGTACTCATTTTCGATAAATCGAACCCCATCTACCCCATCAGACCCCAACTATCGATAAATCCAGATATCGTTTGTGGAGAGAGGTTTTGGCCCTCCAATTGACGTTCCGCAAACTTCATTCTTTGAGCCACGAATGCTCGTAATCTCTCGACTTCTTCTTTTCCCTCCTCCATTTCCAATATGAAATCCATGATCTCTGCATCAATGAGCATGAGTTTGACCATCGCACCATGTGATCTTCGATCTAACCTTCGTAATTCTTGGATACCACTCCCTTTCTCCGCGATTTGTCGTTTCAAGTCTTGTCTAATAACCCATTCATTATAATTCGACTCTACGACACTCCCAGAACAGCGCCCCAATCTCTCGGCAAGAACTGCGAGTGCCCTGATCATTGCATTCCTCTTGATGTTATAAACATTGGTGAAAGACACGTGCTGTCTGGTTTAAGATATTCGTCGGATTGGCCGTGTCGATTTGTCTGTTGGTGAAGGTGGGGGATACGATTTTATTTATGAAATCCTGCCATGAATTATAGAAAATAACAGAAGTCACTTGGAATATTACTTCTTCTCAAGCCGAATGAATGCTCCTCTTAACAGGAGTGAAAAATTCTGCTTTGTCGATTCATTTTCTCTTTCTGTACATCGCGGTCTTGTTTGAAGAAAGTCAGATAGTTGCATGTGTGTTTCAATATCAGAACTCACCTTCGCAGCTCTCTCAGTAATTTTTCCTAGCTTCAAATAGAGCTAATATCAGGTAGTAGAACATTAAAAATAACGTAAAATGAAGATTTTTACGTTTGATAAGTGCAAGAATGGTTTCGACTGAGGAATGAAAAAATTGCGCCAGGTAAAAATCATTGTTCGAGGTCAAAATTTTGAAATCCAAGAGGGCAAGAGAATGATTGAAAGTGAGTTCAATTAGTATACTTGACTAGGTACCTAGTATTGTAAAATACTTTCATTCTTGAAACACTCCCCACCCTGCTTGATCAATCTCTCAAAAAAACTTACAAATTCAATCAGAAACAGCCGCTATTTCCCTTTTGAATAAAAATGATATTATTGCACAGTGCACTGGTGGCATTTATGCTAATTTTAGATGTGGACGACATGGACATAAATTGGAACGGACGTGGAGATGTAATCGATTGTTTGATCAAGGAAGGGCTTCAGTATTTCGGCGGAGAAACGAAGAAATTTTGGCTTACCAGGCCACGTCAATACCAGCATCAGTGTTTCGATTCCATGTAGAAAAATGGCCCTGATTGTTTCAACTTTAAATCAACAACCAGCTCTTATTATTCCAATTCCAAATAGACAATAAATCCTCATCGTTTGCGTTCCAAGGAGACAACCAGCCCTTGCTTACTAGAAATGTTGTTCAATATACTTGAACTTTCCGAACTCGACACAACCATGAGACCAGAGAAAGAAATCAAAGACCTGCTTCGGCATATTGCCAGAAGTCTGGAGCAGATCCCAGAACCCATTGAAAATCAAGGCAATACTGAAAATACAGAGAGCGTCGGAATAAAGACTGTTGGCACATCAATTGCAACTGCTTTGGCGCCTGTGACTCCGTTTGAGAAGAATCGAATAACTCAAAAGAAAAAAGCTCTTTAACAAATACGTAACCTTAGATAAAGCACCAACTTTGGAGGAAGCATGTCGATAACTCGATATTCGAAACAGCGAAGTACGATGGATGGGGGGGGGGGAGGGGGGCTTAGCCCAAACACAACTCTAAAGTTTTGGCAGCCATCCGGTGTATCTTGGATAGTAAATAAATCAGCAGAAATAGGAGGATGTATCCTTGAAGACGATATGGGTCTTGGAAAGACTTTGCAGGCATTGGGCCTCATATGCCACATGAATAATGAGAGGAGGAAGGGGAATGGTAATGTTGGACAGACAAAGCCTAGCCTGGTAATTAGTCCAATTGCAGTGTTGAATGTTTGGAAAAGAGTTGTAGAAAACTTTTTGTCCAAAAAGTACCAAGTGCACTTGTACTGTGCGAGAGAGAAAATTCCTATCTTGAACAAGGAAAGTCTCAAGAGCTTGGAACACCCCGAATGCCATAACTTTGTCGCCAATTTCGAGTGGTTAAGAGCAAAGCACAAAGGCCAAAACAGAACTGATCTAGGAGAAGTGTTTGATACGGTTATTATTGACGAGGCCCATATCATCAAGGACGAGAGTACCGGAAATTATGAGGTGCTCAGCGAGTTGGCACCCCTCAACTTCATATTGTTGACCGGTACACCCGTAATGAATCAGGATATTGACATTGCGGCCATGCTATCGCTCTTCCGGCCGGATAGCTTGTGGGAAGATATGCAATGCGACAGAAAGACGAATTCATTTCACCTCGAGGATAACCACCGTCATGCTGTCCTAAGAGCGACCAGTTTCGCTGACCACCGATATCCGAACACGCTTCCCAAGAAAGACCATGTGAAAGGAGGGGAGTGGCCGGGGAAAATCTATGATATAGTCCCTCTTAAGTGGGCTTTCGGTACAACCATGAATGGAGTCTCAATCGGTTCTGCAATTCCACATGTTAAAACCAATGTTGCTGTTGTTTTACCAATCTTCCCAGTCAGTTTTATTCATCAGGTGATTTCTAAATAAGTGCTTACTAATAAGGTTAATGTAATATTGAATCGTAGTTGGGAACAGAAAGATTCGCATGTGAAAAATAAAAATAAAGGTCCATCATCACACCGCGTGCAGCTGCCGTTGAATACCCCAGAAATGTGGAGTCATGGGAACGGAGCTTCGAGCATAAGCGTGTACCGAGAGATCCAGCGGAAACCGAGGATGCAAAAGGTCCCTTCATTTTCAAAATTCTATATTAAATTTGAACATCAATATTTTCAACTATAAATTGAACTAGAAAATCAAAAGCTCTATAATCTATAGATGTGTTACTTTTTACCCATCTTGACATATGGTCCTGTTTTAATTTTAATTTTCAAAAAATAGTGATTTTCACAGATTTTTGATTCTTGCGCGGTTTGGTGTTTTTGGAGTTGCCGAGGTTATTTTTGGAGGTATGAGATTCAAATAAAGCGACCAAGCCATCTTCTATTGTGCTCAAACATCAATTGCATTTTTTAACATCCCCATTCTCAACTGTTTTCTTCATCATCTTATTATCATTATTATCAGTCTTCTCATCGTTCTTATCTATCTATTTCATCAGTTCTTCTAATAAACAATCGAACAATTAAGGATCACAGATAGCATACAAGCAACCATGTCAGAGCTACGCTATGATGGACAAGTTGTTGTTGTGACGGGAGCTGGCGGTGGATTGGGAAAGGCATACGCCCTTTTCTTTGGTTCAAGAGGTGCAAGTGTAGTTGTGAATGATCTTGGAGGATCGTTCAAGGGCGAGGGTAATTCTACAAAGGTATATGTTTCTTCCAAATGTCAAATAGCCATCTTACATTCCTGAACATAACTAACATCATCACCAGGCCGCAGATGTTGTAGTCAACGAAATCATAGCCGCAGGAGGAAAGGCAGTAGCCAATTACGACAGTGTTACAGAGGGCGAAAAGATTATCGAAACTGCCATTAAAACTTATGGCCGAATTGATGTCTTACTCAACAATGCCGGCATCCTTCGCGATATTTCATTCAAGAATATGCAAGATAAAGATTGGGATTTGATCATCGACGTTCATGTAAAGGGATCATATAAATGCGCGAGAGCAGCATGGCCACATTTCAGAAAACAAAAGTATGGAAGAGTGATCAATACTGCAAGTGCGGCAGGTTTGTTTGGAAGCTTCGGTCAAACGAATTACTCAGCAGCTAAATTAGCTATGGTCGGATTTACGGAAACTTTGGCAAAGGAAGGTGCAAAGTATAACATTCATGCTAATGTTATCGCTCCTATTGGTACGTTTATAATTACCCCTAAGATTTTGGTTGGTATCTAATCTAATGAATAATAGCTGCTAGTCGCATGACTGAAACTGTCATGCCTCCCGAGATCCTCGATAACTTAAAGCCGGATTGGGTGATTCCTCTCGTGGCTGTTTTGGTACACAAGGACGCTCAAGAGAATGGTTCAATTTTCGAAGTTGGTGGTGGACATGTTGCTAAACTTCGATGGGAACGCTCAAGCGGTCTATTGCTCAAGGCAGATGATTCATATACCCCAGGAGCCATCCTGAAAAAATGGGATCAAGTCAGTAACTTTAAGGATGCTGAACATCCTTCTGGTCCTGCGGATTTCATGGGTCTTCTTGAGAAATCAATGAAGATGGGTCCAAATGAGCAAGGAGAGACTCTTGATTTCAAGGGCAAGGTCGCTTTAGTTACTGGTGGAGGTGCTGGGTAAGTGTTCAAAGTTTTATTTTTCCAAGAGATAAAGCTAATTTTGTTAGTATTGGTCGATGCTACTGCTTAGCGTTCGCCAAGTATGGTGCTTCAGTTGTTGTAAATGATTTGATGAACCCAGATGATGTTGTTCAAGAAATTCAAAAGCTTGGTGGAAAAGCTGTCGGTGTCAAGGCATCTGCTGAGGATGGAGATGCTGTCGTTAAAGCTGCAATTGATGCCTTTGGACGCATTGATATCATTATCAACAATGCTGGTATTCTCCGTGACAAAGCTTTCACCAATATGGATGACAAGATGTGGGATCAAGTTATCGCTGTTCATCTCAGAGGTACATACAAAGTTACCAAGGCTGCATGGCCATACTTCTTGAAACAAAAGTATGGTCGTGTAGTAAATACCACATCTACCAGTGGTATCTATGGTAACTTTGGACAATCCAATTATGCTGCTGCTGTAAGTGTGATATCTTGATTTGAAAGACATTCGCTGACCCTAGAAAAGAAATGTGGTATTCTCGGTTTCTCTCGTGCCCTCGCTCGTGAAGGTGCCAAATACAATATCTACGTTAATACAATTGCACCAAATGCTGGTACTGCAATGACCAGAACCATCATGCCAGAAGAGATGGTTCAAGCATTCAAACCAGACTACATAGCGCCACTAGTTGTCGCACTTTGCAGCGATAAAGTTCCAAAACCACCTACTGGAGGTCTTTTCGAAGTTGGTAGTGGATGGGTTGGACGAACAAGATGGCAACGAACTGGTGGGCATGGTTTCCCAGTCGATGTCAAGCTTACCCCTGAAGAAGTTTTGAAGAACTGGGAGAAAATTATCAACTTTGATGATGGACGATCGGATAACCCTGAGGATAGTCAAGATGGTTTGAAGAGTATTATGGCAAACATGCAAAACAAGAAGGGTGCGAGCAAGGTATGAACCTTCTCCGCATGTTTAGAATGAGCATTATGTATATTATAGTCAATCAATAAAGATATTTGTTAACATACTCTTCTGTTACAGAAAACCGAGAAAAAGGTTGAAGTGAATCAAGAAATCCTTGATAAAATTGCCGCAGCCAAGAAAGCCGAAGCAAGTGGAAGTGAGTTTACTTTCGAGGAGCGGGATGTAATGCTATACAACCTTGGAGTTGGTGCAAAGAAATCTGAATTGTCTCTTGTTTTGTAAGCTTCCATATTCTCTGATTTTGAACTCGACTAACTGAAGTATAGCGAGGGTGATGAAAATTTCCAACCTCTCCCAACTTTCGGTGTCATCCCACCATTCAATGCTGAAGCCCCCTTTTCTTTTGATGATATTGTACCCAATTTCTCTCCTATGATGCTTCTTCACGGCGAACAATATCTCGAAATTGCTTCCTACCCCATTCCTACTTCTGGTACTCTCATTTCGTCACCAAAACTTCTCGAGGTAGTCGATAAAGGTAGTGCCGCCGTAGTTAAAGTAGGAACCACCACGACAGAAAAAGAAACCGGAAAGAAAGTATTCTATAACGAACAAACAGTTTTCTTGCGAGGCAGTGGAGGATTTGGAGGCGAGAGAAAAGGAGCGGATAGAGGAAATAGTACAAGGGCGAATAAAGTCCCCGAAAGAAGCCCGGATGTGGTGGTTGAGGAAAAAACGACGGAGGAACAGGCTGTGATTTATAGACTGAGTGGTGATGTGAGTTTTTGATTGCTTGATAGGAGGAAAATTGCTAATGGGAATAGTATAATCCTCTTCATGTTGATCCGGCTTTCGCGGCGGTGGGAGGTTTCAAAGCGCCTATTCTTCATGGGCTTTGTTTTATGGGGATTGCGGGGAAAGCGGTTTATCAAAAGTAGGGATTCTGTTTCTTCTTTATTACTCCTTTCCATCTCATCTTCCTTCCTCCCAATCAACTCCCTCCTTTTCATTTCACTCCAATATCCTTCCTTCCCTTGCTAATATAAATGAATAGATTCGGTCCCTACAAAAACATCAAAGTTCGCTTCGCAGGCACGGTCATCCCAGGTCAAACATTGATCACGGAAATGTGGAAGGAGGGCGGTAATAGAGTGGTTTTCCAGACGAAGGTTAAGGAGACGGGGAAGCTGTGTATTGGTGGTGCGGGGGTGGAGTTGCTGGGTGAGGGGAAGGAGAAGTTGTAGACGGAGGGGTGGTAATGCATTCAAGGGCTTGTTTGATTATTTAATTTGAGATTTGTTGAATCGGTATACCTGTAATGTTACAATGCTATATGCTATGTTACATATCATGAGTGAAATGAAAAGTGATGTAATTGCACATTGTGTCATTTAGTGAAGACTGATTATCCTGGACCTGAATGTTACAGAAAGTATGCATGATGTGGATGATGGATAGTTGATGTATTTCTAATAACATAGAATTATTTAGGTATTTAGATATTGATATCGAAGAGCTTGGGGAGTTAAGATGGGTAGAAGGGGAATTTGAGAATGGTGGACTTTGTTTTGAGATTTTGGGGGGTGGGGGAGGGGGGGGGTCTTTAGGTAGCTTGTGAGGTAGTGAGGGAGTGAGAGAAACCGAAAAGTAAGATAATAAGATAGCGAAGTAGTGAATTCGTGAAGCAATATGATAATAAGGGATTGAATAGTTAAGTAAAGGTTAAGAGATTAAAAGAGTAAAAAGATGAGGGAGTAAAGAAGTAAGGCTGTGAGATTAGGTAGTGCAGCTGAGGTTAGATTTTGATGATGAGTAGATTAAGTGAAAATTTTTGTTAAATGAATAGTAAACATTTTGGCGCATTTTTTGTTGGTTTTGTAGGAAGTTAAGAGTGGAGTTAGGGGAGATAGGATCGAGGGAATGGGAAGGGATGTGAGGAAGGGAGGAGAAAACTTGGGGTGAGGGAGTGCTTGTTGTGTATACCTAGGTATGGGAAGTGATTTTAGTGTTTTTGAGTATCTTTAAGTGGTTTTTATTATGGACGGAGTTTGGAGATAGGAGAGGAGAGGGATGGGAAATGTATTTGTGATTAATTGAGATTAAGATTGCTCGATGGATCGTCGTGATATAGATGTGAATTTTGAGATGTGGATTGCGAGATTGGAGATGAGAGATATGAAGGGGGAATATGAATGAGAGATGAACTTGAGGTTTGAGACCTTGAGACTTGGAAGGCCAGTAGGTATGCATAATGTGGTAGATGCTTGAGGGATGGGGATAGTTGGGATGAAGTATTTTGTATCATTTTGGGGCTGAGTTGGTGTTTGACTGTAGGAAGAAAAGAAGGAGAAAAGATGGAGATGAGATAGTAA